TACCGATCGATAGAGAAATCGAATTAGGTCTCTAAGCTTTTAATATCAGTTTTAAGCCTGTCTGGGGAAGATTCACATTTTTTCTTTCCATTTTTTTTAAACATATACAATAGACCTATACACGATATACCTATATCTTCGAATATGGACATTCACACAAACACATACACACCCACACCCCCATAAATCCATATATATATATATATATATATATATATATATTTTTGGTTGGATAGATGTAAGTTTGTGACCCTGGGTTTCACGCTTTTTAGCGATCGTCAGAAAAACTGATTATTTTTTTTAACTTTTGGGTTTATGTAGATTGCGTGTATTGGTGTTATTGTGGATGTGGTGGGGGAAATTTCGTCGTACACAGACTTTTCACACACACACACACACACACACACATATATATATATATATATATATGTATATTTGGTTGGATAGATGTGAGTTTGTGACCCTGGGTTTCACGCTTTAGCGATCGTCAGATAAAAAGATTATTTTTTTTAAATTTTGGGTTTATGTAGATTGCGTGTATTGGTGTTATTGTGGATGTGGTGGGAGAAATTTCGTCGTACACACACTTTTCACTTACACACACACACACACACACACACATATATATATATATATATATATATATATATATATATATATATATATATATATATATATATATATATGTGTACTACCTGCATGATCAATACTGCTGTCTTGCATATGAGAGTTGATTTTAAAAATATCAAGGAACGATTTCCGACTTGTGCAATGATTAACTCCGTCAGAAGATATGAAGATTATGTTATACTGTTGTTTGTAATGCTGAAAAGGAGTCCATCATGTCTTCCAATGTTTCTACACCGCCCTATTTCAGCTAGTGGTTGGCCTTTGCCCTCCACAATTTACTGTCCTTTGCAGACCTATGCAACTGTTGTCTCTTTATCAAACTTCCCATTCCATCTGTTGCAATCATTTTTAGTAAGTGACCCAGGATCACATCGGTCATTCAGTGCTTCGCCTATTATCTTTTTTTCTATTTGTCCTCTGAGTGTTCGTTTTTACAAGCTTTCCTACGGCGCCATGCGTTACAGTAATTTCAGCTATATCTCATCATTACTAACATAAGTAACCTCTTCGTTAACATTTCCCTTCAACCATGTTTATAGATACAAATATTTAATTAGTGGCACTGTTTATAACAAACAATATTAGCTACATTTATCGGCCTGAATTTTCCAAGAATTTTCATAGGAATCAAAATTATATCATAACTATACCCTACACGGCAGGACGTGTTATACAAGAGACAGAGGAAGCATCTGTTTAACAATATCCAATAACTGCTTTTTAAACAACAGATTTCCCATGATTTTTCTCGAACGATCATATCTGCCTATCTTAATGTAAGCAAATGACAATATATATTAAGAAATGGACAATGTCCGTCAACTATTTTAATATATTTTCTGTTTATACGTTAATTTTATAGATACAGATATTTAAGTAAAAGCTCTGTTTAAAATAAACAGTATTAACTAGATTTGCCGGCCTGAAGGTCCAAGAAATTTCATAGAAAATGTATATTGCATAGCACGTCAGGCCAAATGTTCTATTCAAATTATTTTTATTTTCCCAAGAACTTTCAATCGCTTCTGAGACCATCAGCAGTGGGTTAAATTGTTTGTGGATGTGTATACGTAGTTCCGTGAATTCAGAATTTTTTTTTTTAAAATCATTTTTCTACGGCCAAGACTCTTCTTTTTTTTTCTTTTTTTTTTTTTTTTTGTTCAACTTTTAGTTATTATTACGACCCGGAATGGTGCACGTGTGGTAGCAAGAATTCCTGCCTACATCCTGGTATTCTTTGGGAAGATGGAGTTGGAAGTTTTAAATGGTCTAGCAGGACGTCACGTGTAACAACTATTGGGAAAGAAGCAGTTTATCGCTAATTCATCAGATGGTTGGTTTTCCGACATGGCCTCAGAAAAGAATTTTCTCCAAGTTTTCAGTCGGTCTGACGTCTCCAAGGAAGAAATAAAAGCATTTCTTATTCCATTCATTTTCCTTCGGTTCATGTGTCGGATAACAAAATTTTATTATCGCAAGGCAAAAGTTTGTTTTGTCGAAAACAGTTTAGTTAGCGAGACTGCTTGTGTGGGATTTTAATTTTCCATATCTAGCTAAGGCTCCGTAGCTACACCTGTGTTTTGTCAATTATCAAAATCTAACGTTTTGAAGTGGACTTTCTTTGGCGAACATTTCTTGATAACACAATTCCATTCGCGCAGGCCAAGTAGGAAAATCGGTCAATGATAGCTCGCAGGTGGCCTTTAATTTTCATATTTGTCCAAAGTCTTTTTTAGTCGCCTGTTTCTTGTCGTCACTTATCGAAATAACATTTTCGCTTGAATTTTTCCCTTGGCCGGTGGTCTGTGTTTTGATAATAAGATGCCTTCTCGTACCAATAGTTTGTTTTCATATCCTTAGATAACACTTCCCTACCCACTCAATCTCATTGTCATTGTAATGACACTCTTTCGCCATTTGCCACTTATCCAAAATAACCCTTTTTTTATTGCCTCTTAAGCCGTGCGTGTGTGTGTTCACTTATCACCTATGATCCGTCTCGCATTACTTTTTCCCTTCCTTTCTTCTTTTTCTTTCCTTTTCCCTTTTGCCTTTCTTTTCTGCCTGGATGCATGGTGCCACACACACACACACACACACACACACACACACACATATATATATATATATATATATATATATATATATATATATATATATATATATTAATGCAAATATACGACAAATTTCTCAAATTATACAATATAAGATCATGACTGAAACGAAAACAAATCACTCTTTATGTATCAAAACACACACGATCTTATATTGTATAATTTGAGAAATTAGTCGTATATTTGCATTATTATATATATATATATATATATATATATATATATATATATATATATATATATACACGTGTGTGTTTTGATACATAAACAGTGGTTTGCTCGTTTCGGTCATGATCTTATATTGTATAATCTGAGAGATTTGTCGTATATTTGCATTAATATACTCATTAAAATCGACTTTATTTCAACATATCATAAAACTCTAGCATTGTACAGGTCAAGATAATTTAATTGGACTTATTATAATGTTTGTTTTACTGAAAATTTTCCGGATGGCATTAACAAAATTATTACTAAATCAGAAAGTTTAAACTGTTTTTCTGGCCTTTCATGTCATCGCTAACAGGTCTTTCGTTCCCTTCTTTTGCTTCGTGAATGTTTTAATCAAATAATCAAATTTATTTTAATCAAATAAGTGGAGTCCTTTTTCTTTTTTTTTACTTTTTTAAACATTTAAACCCAATTAACTCAAATATGATACTAAGTCGCAGGTGGTTACAGTGGGTTTTAAAATATGAGAAAGCACTATTAAGCAGAGAGAACAATAAAAGAACAGGAAATAAGAAAAAGGAAGATTACGATTGACATTATATTGAAATTTTTGAAGATCTAAGTTGACTGGAAAGCAAGAAGTCGGAAGAGTGTTCTGCAAGCGATAAATGCGGGAGAAGAAATTATTAGCATAGAACATACGTTTATATTTACCCACTTCAACTGTAAAATGAGGAGACCTTTTAGCCAAGCTAGCACTTCGATTAAATGCATAATGTGTAATTATCATAGCCGGAAGTTTATCAGAACTATTACCATGAGGGAATATATAGAAATGGCACAGTGAAAGATAAAAATAAATGCCTTGTTTTAAGCAAAGGCTCAAAAAGTGTAAACCGTGGACATTGTTTTCTTTTTATTAACAAAACTGAAAAAAATAAATAGATTTGTTATATTCTTTTAAAATAGCTTTGTAGAAATTATCTACATTTCTCCTTTTTCTTCTTCTTATTATCTTCGCCTGTAATTGTCCTTTATTGAGACGTAGACTTTCCTCAGATTCCTAGGCGCTGGATGTGACAGGGTTAGGTGGTATTTTCGAATAATTATCGCCCAGGGTAATTTTGTGCTCTAGGTAAATGTAACAAAATCGATTGGAATTGAACTTGCCTCTCTGACATTTCATCCAGAGTAGTTATCCTTTACACCAGAGGACGTCAACTCATTCGACCCCGCGAGCCGGATCGTGTTATAATGACGGGTCGATGGGCCGGACGAAGGCCATTAATGAAAAATTAAGAAAAAATTACATATGCAGACACCTGTCAACCTAAATATTTAAAAACATAATGAAAATAAACATTGAGAAATCAGAAAAACAAAAGAAAATCTAAAATTAAAAAAAAACACCTAACAAAAATTACTTTTCCTCAAGGAACGTCAAAATACTTCAAAGTGAAAAAAAAATCAACCGAAGTGAAATGGATGAAATTATGACGTGAAGGTTTGAAACTCTTATTGAAAATTGTTCCACAAACGAACCACACACACACACACACATCAAACAAAAACGAAGCACATGTACCCATACATACGAGTACAAATAGTTGCAAACATTTACACTTACGTACGTACACATGCGATATCATCCACACATTCATGAGGCATGTATGTATAATGCGCGTATGTTTAACTGTCTTTAGATTTCTGCTACTTCGCATGTCAGTCCCTCCCTGGCCTCTTTCACTTTATCGTTCCTTTCGCTTCTGTTATCTTTTAATGTAGCCAAGGGTCATAACAAATATGTATCCATTATTTGACATTAAACGTAGGCAACGCAACTTGGTAAAATAAGTCTCATGAAAGATAACTGGCAGATAGTTTAATATTTTTAGTGCATTGAGATGTGTAGACATTCTATGGAAAATGACATATAGCAAATTTCATTTGAAGGTCGTTTTTTGTGTTAAAACTAGAATCATTGGGAATCAGGCTCGCGGGCCGGTCAAAATGCCTTCGCGGGCCGGATCCATCCCGCGGGCCGTAGGTTGCCGACCATTGCTTTACACCAACCGTACGTTCAAGCTTACAGCACATAATATTCCAAGTGGTCACCCATCTAGGAACTGACCAGGCTTGACGTTGCTTAATTTAGCTGACCGGACGAGACCCGGTGTTTCAACGAGATATGGCCGTAAGCCTCCGCATTACTTTCTTTTCTTTATACATTACTTCTCTCTGCTTCCAAGGAGGCTTTGGCGTAAAATCCACTTTCGGAGCAGATAAAGGCTTTATTTCAGTATGTAAGCAATTTAATTTTAGAAGCCATATACAAAACAGAATTGCTTATTTATAAAGATGATAAAAGATCAGAAGGGTAATAAATAATAAATCAATTATTTTGAAAATTTGATTTTTAAAGATGTATTTGTAAATTAGTTATCGCCATTAAGAATAGCTCAGTTTGGCAATAGATATGATGCATCCTTGCGGAAGTAAATAGATGGATCCGTATTTGAACTTTGCCTAAAAGATAGCGGGAACGGCAGAAAAAGAGAATGAAATAAACATAAGGATATTTTTCGCATATTATATATTGCTTATTTTTACAACTTTATACGTTAAAGTAATAAAAAAATATATCGGGTTAATAAATAGATAAAAGTCTATTAATTCTTTAGATATTGCTTATTGTATGGAGGATATACTAACAGTGTCGATATTATTGGCGGGAAAAGAAGAATCTTTCAACACCCAGACTTTCATCTTTGTAAGGTACCTTTTCTCCATTAAAATACCTTTTTCTAAGAACGCATGGCAATTCTCAAATAATAATGGAATTGGATTTCAGGAGAGTCATGATCGCTTATGTCCTGAAAGTGTATTGTATTAAAAAAAATTATACGTACTTGCAGGTGCAGAAACATTATATATTCAAACACAAAATGGAAAGTATAATGTATATTTGACACGTCAACGTGATGTAATACTTAACAAGCTAAGTTAGATAAATGACGTCCGAGTAAGGAGTTCGATCCTCACAGGGAGCTCTATGGTTTCGGTCTTGTGTATTCATTTTAATTTAAGACACTTTCTAAGTCATTTTTTGTATTCCATTTACTTGGTCTAACTCTTTAGCCTCATTTGATTTTTTATTTATTTATTTCTTTTTCCTGCGTAACGTTTTTTTTCTTCTTCTTATTTTACGTATCCTTGTTTGGCTAAGGCCAAGCTTATTTTTTTTACTGGTATAACCAGCACTCTATTTTTATCTTGTGTTTTAGTTTTATTATTATTTGAGATATTTTTTTTCTTTATTAAAGTATGTACAATTCCTTTCTTTTCAAGGAGACTTTAATAAGTTTCTGTATTTTATTACTTATAGCTTTTGGTTGAAGGTTGTTCACCGTTTTCTTCCGTTTTTTTCTAAGTTACTTTACAGAGGAGAAAAATTGTGCCGGGCTGAACCAAAAAAAATACACACGCCAATTAAAAAAACGTCATGGCCGACAAAGTCGGTCTGTAAAAATATAAAACTTGTACAGGGAGACATCGAAGTCTGGCTCACCTGACAACACGCTACAGAAAAATATCAAGCAGCTGGCCTAAGTATAGTGGCCATAAATCGCCAAAAAGAATTCATTAAATGAAAGTATGGCAAACCAAAATGGCCAACATAAAATTAACGTAACCATTAAAAGCACCCAACCTATGGTGGCCGAGAATGTTTAAAATACGAATAATGAAACTAATAATGGAAACCAACCAATGGTGAGGGAAAATGGTCAGGAAAAGAAAAAAAGAAGTCAATCAGAAGAATGATAGTGTTATGGCCGGGAATTCCCCATTCTGCTGGAAGTCCTCAACGAAATGTATAATTAATATCGAGGAGTTTTGGCAGAGAGTCAAAAGTTACATCTTATCAAAGAAGATGTGCTTTTGGTGGCTCCGCAAGAATTGAAGAAGTTTGAAAAACGAATTGTGTCAGTCTTGTAGTCGACAAGCGTTCGCGGAAAAATTATCGCGCCACGAAAGGCATCGTCATCTAGTTGCTGAAGTCTCTGGCGATTAAGCTTCAAAGAATAATCAAGGGCACAAAGAAAAATCAAGGGTTATTTCACGTGAGACATACAGCTGACTAAGCCTGAAGACTGTGTAAAAGCAGACAGTTGCGACCTTATGATTAATGATCTCATGCTAAGTAAGTAATATTGAAGGCAGGCGAATTACTTGTAGCAATCTTTCAGGTTCCTCCTCAAGTCTTTGGAGAGAACTCCTAGAACGCTCAGATATTGCGTGCTCCTTCCAACAACCTGAATGGAGGATGGAGTTTTGAAATCATGGTGGATCTATATCATCATCTCTTTGCATGTAGAGGACCAGAAAATACCGAGCACTGTGACCGGCCGAAAACCAACATGGTTGAAGTGGGGAGAGACTGGAAGAAGAAACCTAGGACCTGATAAGTAAAGCGTGACTAGTAACGAGGACAGGTTAAGATTTTTGAGACTATTTTCAGGATCTGTTCACCAGGAACCCCGGTCTGAGCACTGCTCAGTTCGACGCCTATTTGGCCGGCTATCCCCGCCTTGAGGCGGCTGAAGCAGCTGGGTACGAGGATCCCATTTCAGAGTCGGGAAACTGGAAAGAGCTGAGAATGGTTGACCTGGACAAAACTCCGGAAATAAATTGAAGCAGAGGCCCGTTCTTTTTTCTCTGCTAGAAGTGATTTACAGCAACTGGATGATGCGGTGGCCTAAACTATAACGCTTCACCAGAGATGTAATCATGTTACTATGCAAGAAAAACATCCGTGAAATGGGATAGGTAACTTTGGGTCGTTGACGATGTTAAATACAGAGCTGAATATTTTAGCTAGGACCTTAGTCAACCGTTTGCTGGCTGTCCTCTATAGTATGAGTGGTTCTTAGCAGACTTGTGTTGTGAAGAGTAGGACTATTAAGAACAACATTTGGTACGTTGATTATCGAATAAGTCGACCGTGAGGCTTTTCTGATCTGTTTAAATCAGTCCAAGGCATTCGATAGGTTAGACCATCGATTTCTGGAAGCTGCTCTTGCGGCAGCTGGTTTGAGGCCGTATTTTAGCACCTGGGTTTGACCTGTATGCATCCTACGGTGCGCTGGTTAAAGTGAATGGTGCAAGATCGGAACCTTTCGCATTCTCAGGTTTGTAGGCTTTCGCCTCTGCTTTACGTGCTTGCGTTCAAAACATTTCTTCGAAAGTTAAAGGCTAATCTGGGCATTCGCAGAATTTCATTACTCGGTGCTACCACATCTGCCAGAAAGCAAAGGATACGAGACAGTGACAGGGGGGGGCTAAGATTAACTGCGATGTCTGTTGGCTTGCGGGTGTGTGTGTGTGTTGATGATATGAAGATATCATGATTCCCATGCTACGCTGAAAGTGCTCGAGGCCATTTCTGTTTGCAGCAATGTTGTACTGACTAAGGCAGAACATTGTGTGTTCTTTTGCGTGCTTGGAGTTATGAGAGACGTGATATGGACCACGAGACAGAAAGAATTCACCTCTTCCCAATTGATTTTTACTTTAAACATCAGCTAAAAGAGTTGTGAGTTCAATACCTCATTAAGGCAGTGGAGATCTTGAATAGGGGAATTAACATGAGATAAATGATAACTGACATTCATTAGACATGGCACGTGGAACTAGAGCAGTCTACCTCATCCAGCAAAATAAAGGGTTCAGTTAGACATTCCAACCATCTGAAGAAGGCCGAAACGGGATAGATATGGTAACAAAGATGAGGACAATAGTCCGAATCATGTAAATAGTGTATATAATACATTATCTCAAAAATATAGATAGGTGACATTTTCTTTAATGTGATATTTCCTTTATTGTGACTTTAATGTTGCATTTCATTTCATGTGACATTTCATATAATGTTGTTAATTGGGACTCTGTTTCGCATCATTTTCTTGAAGCAGTTTTTTTTAAGAAAATTGACGTCATTAACAATATCTTAGTATTGATGGGAAATATTCCTTATAAGCGTAAAACGCCTTTGGTTGCAGCTGTTTTTAATTAGGGAACAGTTAAGATCCTTACCACTCAAGAAATTAACAAGGAAAACAATTTTATACCGTTCAGCATGAACTAGTGATGAAAGAAATAACGGAATAAAATACATAACAGAGATTCACATTGAGAAAATATTTCTTTTATTGCTGGTATCGTTAGAATTACTGTTTCCGTTTCTTCTTCTGTTCCGTTTCATCCTGCCACCATGTTACTACATAAACAGGACACAAATAAAATACAGCCGTTTTCTCTGATCAGTGATTAATGACTTTAAGCGGATGAATCCTGCAAGTTTTAGAGAAGATAATCCGTTATCAGATCTTACAGAACAGTGCGACAGAGTCCCAATTAACAACTTACAGAAATCTCGACACCTGAAGACTTCCGCCATCAGCAAACAGTAAAATGGTTAGCACATGCTAATAAAAGAGTAGATAATGATAAGATAGAGATGTTGATTTTCTGCACTACCTTAAGAAAAGATTACGAATGAAACTCCTATCAATACTAGAAATATTGATAATGACGTCAATTTTCTTTAAAAAAAACTCTTTCAAGAAAATGATGTTATAAATTCCAACCAACAGTACAGCCAATTGTTAAGACGATAAACACTAAATGTTTCAATATAAGGCAATTGCTAATATCACCATTATCAGTATCACACTTTTATTTGTGTTATGAAACCTTTTTTTCTTATGAATTTATTCCAGTAATATATTCCAATAAATGTTTGATGATGATTAATTCTGATATTGTATAGAACTGAAATAAATTATTTACCCCATTTACAAAGGTCAGACTTGTTGTTCTCATCTTTGTTGTCGGACATTGTATGCTCCAGCCTTCTTCAGGTGATTAGAATTTCGAACTGAAACCTTTATTTCGTCCACAGATGTAGACACATGGCTCAGTGTATAAAAGCATTGGTTGAACTACTCCGGTGACTTGAGCTAATGAGTTCTGAGTTCAAAACATGGTCACAGCAGGGGTAAGCAAAAACTTGGGGAGTTTAGTTACTAAAGGTATTTAACTGACACAGAGATACCCAGAAAAAACATGACATGTGAAACGAGAATAATCGATCCCAGTGAAGGAAATTATGGTTTCGGTTCAAAATTCCAATCACCTG